CCGGGATCTCCCCCCGCCCCCCGTCCTGTCCCCCAGAGGGTCCCCCCGGGGTCCTGTCCCCCTTTTGTCCCCCCACAGCTGCCCCAGCCCAGCCGTGCCGAGAACGCCCCAGGGTTCCCCAAAAAGCGGCTGCGGGACCCCGAGATCCCTCGCCGGGGCCAGGCTCGGGGTCCCGGCACCCTCCCGAAAGGGGGATGGGAACGGGAGCCAGGGGCAGGGTCCCCACAGCGATGGGGACGTCCCCCCACTGTCCCCAGCGTCCCCGTCCTGTCCTGGCACGGGCACACAGTGACCTCCCCTCGGCATCCCAGTGACCCCAGTGATCCCAGAGATCCCAGAGATCCCAGTGATCCCAGTTACCCCAGTGATCCCAGTTACCCCAGTGATCCAGTGATCCCAGTGTCCCCAGTGACCCCAGTGATCCCAGAGATCCCAGGGACCCCAGTGATCCCAGTGATCCCAGTGATCCCAGAGATCCCAGTGACCCCAGTGATCCCAGTTACCCCAGTGATCCAGTGATCCCAGTGATCCCAGAGATCCCAGTGATCCCAGAGATCCCAGTTACCCCAGTGATCCCAGTGACCCCAGTGATCCCAGAGATCCCAGTGATCCCAGTTACCCCAGTTACCCCAGTGATCCCAGTGATCCCAGTGATCCCAGAGATCCCAGTGATCCCAGTGATCCCAGTGTCCCCAGTGATCCCAGTGACCCCAGAGATCCCAGTGACCCCAGAGATCCCAGTGATCCCAGTGACCCCAGTGATCCCAGTGATCCCAGTGATCCCAGTGATCCCAGTTACCCCAGTGATCCCAGTTTTCCCAGTGACCCCAGTGATCCCAGTGATCCCAGTTACCCCAGTGATCCCAGTGATCCCAGTGATCCCAGTGATCCCAGTTACCCCAGTGATCCCAGTTTTCCCAGTTTTCCCAGTTACCCCCGAGGGCAGCTGGGACAGCCCCAGGATGGCGGGGCCAGCTTTTGTGGGTCCCAGAGCGGGGGTGGCAGTGCCAGGGGTGACAATGACAGGCGTGACAGTGCCTGGCGTGACAGTGCCAGGGGTGGCAGTGCCGGGGGTGGCAGTGCTGGGGGTGGCAGTGACAGGCGTGACAGTGCCAGGGGTGACAGTGCCTGGTGTGACAGTGCCAGGGGTGGCAGTGCCGAGGGTGACAGTGCCAGGGGTGGCAGTGCCAGGGGTGACAGTGCCAGGGGTGACAGTGCCAGGGGTGACAGTGCCGAGGGTGGCAGTGCCGAGGGTGGCAGTGCCAGGGGTGGCAGTGCCTGGTGTGACAGTGCCGGGGGTGACAGTGCCGAGGGTGGCAGTGCCGGGGGTGACAGTGCCGGGGGTG